TAAAAAAAAACCATAACATGCTGATAATATTTTTTACATGCTTATTTTTATATTAAAAGCACACGATTATTGATTCATATTTTTAAAAAATAAAAACATTTCATGTTTTTTAATAAATTGAAAAGTGTTGAAAAAATAATTTAAATTTCAAATAAATCGAATAAGTAAAAATTTAAAAAATTATTTTAGAAATTTGTAATATTTTAGATATTATTTTTTTTTATAAATTTTTATCAATTTATTTTGTAATTCTTTTTATTATGTAATTTTTTTTATTGTTGTAATTTTTTTATTATGTAATTTCTTTTGTTTTTTATTCATATTTATATATTATCTATAATAATTAATTTTTTAAAAATTTATCATAAAGTATAATGTGAGTTGTCAAAAAGTGTAGTATGAGTTGTAAAAAAGTAGGAGTGCTTATAAGCAATTGTCATTGGAGCAAAAATTGTAAAAATATAGTATGAGTTGCTTATGAGTAACGTGGCACAATGGGACCCATTTAAAGTGGTTGGGACCGGAGATGCTCTAAGAAATACGTTAAATTTTCATTTTTTTTATTCTAGACAAAATGTAATTTTTTAATAATTTTATTAATTTACATTGACAATATTTATAAAAAAAAACTTTATCACTTGATAACATTTTAATACACAATATTTTTTATATTAATTAACAACATTAAATTTTTTACTCTGATAGAAAGTTAAACTCATGGTTTAATTAATGAAATTGAAAAAAATTAAAATATTTTAATCATTTAATTTATGAAACTTCAAAAAAATAATAATTTAAAAAAGTTTATGTATCAATAAGCTAACCCAAAGAATTAAATTAAAATTATTTAAAGTAAAAAAATAAATACAAGTAAAATTATACACATATTCAACCCCCGAAACACAAAATCATATGTTAAGCTACTACCATACCATAACAAATGGTAATCAAACCTTCAAGTTTTTATAATTTATAATTTAATAGCTACAATACAGAGGAAACAGATTTGAGCAAAGCAAATAAGCAAGTACGTCAATTCATTCCATCATTTTAGCCACATCCGCATGTAGAAAAGCCACTATAACAATGTTGAATACATATTAAACCGAAATCGAACCACCCTTCAGTCTCAGTGTCTTCCCGTGCTCGAACCACGATCTAGGGTTTTCTTCACAACGCAACGTAAATTTTCTTGCATTCTCTCTTCAAACCGAAATTATAAAAATCCGATGGGAGTAGTAATTGAGAGCTCCGTTTGGGAACCAAATCCATCCGTAAACATCTTCATCTTCGTTTGTTGCTTCTTCTCGATCCTTCTTTTCCCTCACATCTCCAACCTCAACAGAACCTCCACAATCTTCGACCATGGAACCTCTCACTCATTTCTCCGTTTCCAGCGGAACTTCCTTCTCCTGTATTCTCTTGCATCAGGTTCGCTTTCGCTTCATTTTCTTATGCAGTTCGGTTTCCAAGAAAATGTGCGCGATCAGCTCGCGTAGCTTTCGAGTTCTTTTCTTATGGATGCAGAATTGAAACCTAAAGGACAAAAGAGTCTCTGATTTACCTAGCCGAACGTCCATTGCTATCTTAATTTTTGTTATGAAGTTTTATTTCTAACCAAATTCCGAAACTCGTTTCTTCGTTTGTATTAAGTAGTTGCTTAATTGAGCTTTAGATCGGTAATGTGCTATTGTGAATGACGGTTTCTTTCGTCTTTTCAGTAATGGAAGGTATGTGGTCAGTGTTCGGGGAGTATGAATTAGCTTCGTACGGAATCGGAAGGGAAAATATGGTCAAGTCTCTCTGTTATGGCTATACAACAGCTCTGTTTGCTGCTCCTTTCGTTGGTGTTCTTTCAGATTTGATGTGAGACTCTAGTTTTACTCGTTGATGTTGCTCGATCAATTACAACTAATTTATATACTTAAGAAATTCAACGTTGAGTTGAGTATTAAAAGAGACAGTCTATGCAATTGTGATGTTGAAGTGACACCATATTATGATATTAGTTTCAGTAAATGTGGTTTGCTTCTTTAGTTATTTATGTTACATTTATTCACGTCATCCATTCCAGCCTACTAGGGTTAGCATAGTGGTAAAAAAATTGGTTAGTTTGCACAAGGTCCTTAGTTCTATCCTTGTTACGGCCATTGTACACACACACACACAAAATAAATTTCACATCATCCAAAGTATAGCTTGAAATTTCTTCCATGTGGAATAATTGCTGATGCCCTGAATGATTGTTGATGTTGCACAATTTATTGAAGTGTTTTTTTGTTGCATAATTGGTTATTATTGGTTGTTTGACTTTGAGATGATATTAGGATTTTTATTTTTTATATATTTTTTTCCAATTGTTGAGGAAGAATATGATCAATCTTTGAACTTGTATATTTTCTGATGTTGATCTCACTTTACAATGTTTCTGTCATTTTGGTCATGACATCCTTCTATGTGTGATTTCAACCGTGAAGGGGGATTTGTTATGTTTGGTAAGAGTATATGAAGCATCTTGGTTATTCCAGAAGCATTACTGCTAAATTATGAATATTCAAGAAACGTGTACATTTTTATATAGAATTTTCTGATGATTTGTCAACAAGATTAAGCTAACTTACTCCCTTACTGTTGGTTTAGAGGTCACAAGAAAATTAGTTTAGTCTTTTGCATCCTACACTTCATTGTTGGCATATGGAAGAAGATTTCAGGTCAATCAAGCTTGTTCATGACTAGCATATGTCTCTCTCTGGCCAATACAATATTTTCATTCAGTTTTGAGACGTGGATGGTCAGTCAACATGAAAAGGTAATCAGTAAATCTCGTACTTTTCTTTTGATTTCCACATAGACACAGATTTCAGTCTGAGCATCAACAACTTAGCCACTGGAAAATGGCACAGTAGGAGCTTATTTCTTCCTGATTAAATAACTTGATCCATTTTTTTTTCTTTTCACCCTTACATGGAAAGTGAACTTTACATGGAAAGTATGTGGCTTCCTAGGAAAGAATGTAGGAATGCTTAAAATATCTAGAATTTAACGTTAATTTGGAATTTTGTGTTTCTGTTTGCAGCAAGGGCACAGGCTAGATTCACTGAATGACACATATTGGTTAATGACTTTCTTCGAGTCTGCATGTTTTATTACCAGTCAAATGTTTGCGAATTGGCTGGTTGGTAATAATACAGAAAAAAACACTGCTCCTTCGTCTGCAGTTATCTTCTTTGCAACCATATGCTTCACTTTTATCACCAGAGGATGGACAGAAACTCCAGGAATAGCATCTCTGAAGGAATATAGTCACTCCTTCTATGCATACATTTTTGGTGGTAAGTTCTCATGCTTTTCTTGTTATTCTTTATTTTTTATGATCAACAATTCTTTTTTTTTTATAATATTTTTTTGATAAAATAACACAACTCAATGCTATTAAGAATGCCGTGCTTAACGTTTGTTTGGCAATCAGATGATTTAGTAATAAGCTTAAACTTTCCAGAAATTACAAAGACAGCTAGTCCCTTTGATTTATATTCCTATTAGATAATAGTTGCCATTTTGTCTTAAAATTATGTGTGTACCATGAGTTAGTATTTAGGAAGAACTACTACAAGAGTCTCTTTCCTTTCCACGCATATATTAAATTTGGATCTCATGCTTTGAGATTTGACTTCTCTGACAAGATATACGATGGAATTCATGGTTGCTTATATCAAGTTGCTATTGATTATTTTTTTAAAAGTTTTAGGGGTTTAGGGTTTCTGATGATTACCTTCTTAATGTCCTTGTAATCTTTTCATATATATTTGCCATGTCAACAGATTGATCTTGTTTTACTTTCTTTTTTTTCACACTAAAGATGTACTAGGCCTCATTTATGCACGATCAAGTCAATCTGTATGTTCAGACTGACTTAGTATAATGCTTTTGTAGGTTAGATGTGGAAAGGAGTTGGTACTAAAGAAATGCATTATTCAATTTTACATCAATGTAATGAATAGTTTAAGTCATGTACTGATTATATACTGATTGTAATTTTATAATCCACAGATAAAAGGATATGGCTGCTGGCGTGTGCACAAACTTGCTTTCACTTCTCTATTGGAATTTTTTGGATCCTGTGGTCACCTACAGTGGTGGTATGATATCAAATTTGAAATCACTATCATATGATTTACTGAGAGAATAAAACACTAAGACCATATCGCATTAAGTGGATTTCTTACTGACTTTCTTTTCTTCTTCAGGCTTCTTTGTATTGGTGAATCTAGAAATGGACTTGATTGAACAAATTTATTAAGAATTTTTTTTAGTCCATTATTGTGAGAAAATTTGTCTGAATCATTATGAGAAGAGGCTTTTAAGTTATTGTTTCTGTTATATTATATCACTCCAAGTCTTTGAATGCCTTACAGTTTATATGTATGTATGTGTGTGCGCATGCACTTAAATTTCTTAATGCTTGTGGTTTTAGGCAGATGGGCGAGAGGTACAACTGGCGTTGATATATCCATGCTTTATGGGCTCAAGAATGCTAGGAAGCACTGCATTTCCGTGTCTCACTAGTGGGCCATCATCGCTTAGAACTGAGGACTGTCTGGTTTTTGCATACATTATACTGGCTCTTCTCCTGTCTATTGTGGCCTATGACTATCAGGTTCAGTTATTTATATATTTAGAAAGCCTTAAATATATTTTTGGTCAGGTTTTTGAGCTGCAAGTCTAGAGTCTGCTCTAATAATTTATCATATACAGGAAATTGGAGTTCTGGTGACATTATTTTGCTTGTTTCATGCTTGTGTCGGGTTTGTTTTGCCATCACTTGCAAGATTGAGGACCATGTAATCTCTTTAACAAGAGTTGTACTTTTTCATCTGCTCAATCTTGGATTTTTAGTTTTATTTAATTTGTTTGCAGGTATGTTCCTAATGAATTGCGTGGAGGAATGATGGGCTTCTCTCTCGCCCCTGCAAATGCAGCTATTTTGCTTTCTTTGGTGCAAGTATGTATTTGTACATAATGTTATCTAAAATTGTAGGAATCATGCAATTAATCAATTAAACATCATGAACATGAGTTAAATGAATCATGTGATGAGATATAAGAGGTTGCCTGGCTTTAAAAAATGTTTTCTGTTTATATTTTGTTGTTTCACTTTTAATTATGATAATGTTACAATGTTCTTACTGTGTTTTTTATTTTTAGCGATTTGTGTAGAAAACGGAGAAAACAATAGAAAAAGCTGTTTTCACTGTTTCAAGTACAAATATTTGAAAACAAAAAACAAAAAGAAATTAAGGTGACATTGTAATTAAAAGTGGAAAGAAGTAAAAATAGAAAACATTTTTTTAATAACATATACTCTAAATAAAAATGTCCTAATTTTTTGTGAGGTTTTGAAATTACAATGCTAATCCTGGGGGCTACGTATAAGAAATTGCTATTCAAGATGGGCTCTGTTCTTGTTAATTTTTCAAGTTCCTCCACACAGTCATTCCTAAAGGTCCTAGATTAATTTCTTATTGTGCCGCCCATCTTCCACTACTTTAAGAATAGGCCAAACTTTTTGAGCATGGATTGGACTTTTTGATTGCCACAACTTCTCCCTGTAGTTGATTAGCTAAATAGGTAACATCGCATGCTCATATGACTCATCATGGAGGAGGGTTAAATTAATGGAATACAATATTTTAGGTGTAATATACCTTTTGAGGGAGTGGCTATGGTAACTTGTAAAGTATTATACCTGAGATTAGTTGTTTGTTTTACCATAAATGTTAATAGCCTCTTTGACACGGGCCCTAGTGCTGGATCAGATCAGCATTCCTTAATTGGCCTTTAGTAAATCAAACCCATTATATGGAGAGTTTATGAGAGTAAGAAAAAGAAAGAGAATAGGGGAGAGAATTAGAGAGTTACTGATGTGGCAGTTTGTTACTAATGATTATATGGAGAAGGTGGAGTAGTGGGATGGGTATTGCGTATCTTTTCTGTTAGAATCCTTGGGAATTTGCAGAGAGAGAAATATTCCTTCTGTGAGGAGCATACCTCTGGTTGCATTTGTATGAGAGCTTAGGCTCTTTATGCATTTTTCAGTATAAACTATTTCCTTTTCATTTTATCATTTCTCAGTGCTCTATCAAATGTTTTGTAAATTTCTTAAATATAATCAACATGCAATAAATGATTAACAATGCACGTTTGGAATTGGTACCCTTGAAAAAAAGATAGGTACTGAAGTAATCCACTACTTTTAGATGTTTGCAATATTCTCAATGCAGCGTCTTTTGTCTAAAATGATTTTGTGAAAGATAAATTGCGTTTCTTGTGTTTCAACTGGTTCATGCATGTGTGTTTTTACTGCTATAAACATATTGACTTCCTCTTTATTTTTGCAGGGTGGCTATTACCGGAATATTGGAAATGGAGCATTAATGGCATTTGGTGTGTTTGGTTTATTGCTAGCGGCTGGTTGCATGCATGCCCTGAAGCAATTGGGAAAGCAACCGTATAACAACTGGCATAAGCAATGAATTAATGCCCCTTTGGCAGGCTTTGGTAGTGGTGGATGTCCGTCTTTTATTGAATGATATAGGAGGAGTAATGATGAAGAACTTAGATGATGCCGATTCAGGCAAGGGGAAATTAATTTCAAAAAACTACAAACATCGACTACTAGTGAGTGCTGAACTGGACTGACATTTGGGTTCTTTCTGTAAGGACAAAAGAGAGACTGAACAATGAAACTTCACAATTTAATTCTTTCTTTAAATTCCTAGTCTGTGAGACCAAGTCCTCTTCTAATTTGAGTACGTCAGCTATTTTAAGTTACTCCGCACTAACAGGTTTCTAATTCTGATTATATATTGTAGCTTGCATACTTTGCTGCTTGGGTTTTCTTATGGAGGATTATTCAATTGCACAAGCTTTGGAAGCTGCTGTCAGAATCTGTATCCGGTGACGTGTGCCAGTTTCTCCAGAAGAGCACCCAAAGATCATAAGGTGAAAATTGAATATTATATTTTGGTTTTGTTAGCATATTAAGGTTAGTCATGTGTTAGTTTATTCCAAGTTTATTAGCTTAAACCGTAACACTGACTAACCCTAACATACTAAGAAGTAAGGAGGTTTATATAAAGCCTCAAAGAAAACATTCGAAGCTCCGGTGATGTGATTTTTTCAATTTCATCATGACACAATTTGGTATGCTTGTTTTTTTCTGCCATATAGGATCCCTTTTTTTTTTCCTAAGAAAAAATAATTAATCATGAACTATGTTTAGAAAAGTTTTAGATAATTGTTTTTTTTATAAGCTAAATTTATTACGTAAAAAAAAAGGTACTGGTTTAGTGTTTTGTTCCTCATAAGTTAGAAACAGTTATTTCTTTAAATTAAAAATATCTTATCATTAAAAAGAATTTATAGATTAGCGTATCATAATTATAAATAGGTTTATTATCTTAATTGGTTTAACCTGAATAAATTATTTATTTCAGATGAAGACAAACGCTACAGTTTTTTTTATTAGATAAAATTAATGAAACGTGGAGCATGTTGAATGATACGACTCTTTTTTTTATTTGTCTTTGATTAGAAAATCTGGTTTTACTTTTTATTTTCAGTCACATGTATTTTTTTGAATCTTAACAATTGTGTCAAAAGAATAATTTCTCACCTTTTCCGATTTAGTATGCAAAGATAGAAAGTAGAGATTAAAGATCTAAGGTATATCAAATACAAGGTCATAAGTAGCTTTGCTTTTCGAAAATAATTTTAGCAACTGAATTATGGATGATTGGTTCCTTACTGAATGTTTATTGAATGTGTAACTCAACGGTATGGTATCTTAATCTGCACCTTCTTTATTTATGTATCTCGTCAAATTTATCCCAGATTATTCTTAGCATTAAAATATTGATGACTATCAAAGGGACATAAATATTACTATCGGTGTAAGAGTTTGAAAATCAATCATCTAATTGTCATCTATTTGATCCCTTATCCACTTTGTTGCCACCCACTTCTCTCCTTTTATGACGGGGCAGCTTGCGTGGAGTGATGTCTGGCAAAGTATGCATAGAAAGATGGTCAGATAATAAGCACATTGAGCTCCGAAATGTCTTAAAATTTTAACTTTAGCCCAATGATAAACAGAATATGACAACCCGAAGCATAAAAAAAAATATTAATAAGCATCAAAAAAGAATAAGACAGCCCGTTTATAATTTATCAAGAGAATTAGATAAATTAAATTCACATGTGCAAAATTTATTAATAGTATATTTGGATATGAAATTTAAATAGAGTAATTTATTTGCTTGAAGAATTTGAAATATCTTATTTGAATGAAAAATTTATAAAAAATTTGAAATTCAAACATTTTTATTCCAATGTGCAAAATTGCTATCCTGTTTTTCAAAGTTTTGTATAGAAAATAGAGGAAGTTAGTTATAAAGCACTTCGGCTACAAAATCCAGAAAGGCCCGGTAAATTTAATTAGTTAAGTTTTGAATCATTCTTGAGATTGTATTTTTTGTTTCCTTATATAGGAAAGAAGTAGCAAAACCAGATAAAACTTCTGGTAACAGAAAAGAAACGGAGCTAACAATGGGCACCTGTGTATATGAGGCATTAAGAAACAATTTAATATACTTCTAATTTTTTTAATATTCATTTTGAAACTGAACTAGATATGTGTGCACCTGTGCATGGCACGGACATCTATTTTTTTTATTATAATATCAATTATTTAATTTTGTTAATTAATATTAAATAAATGGATATTATTTAAATTTTAAAATGTTATATATAAATATATGTATATGAATTTTAAAAAGTATATTTCAAAATAATTACTATAACTTATGAAAAGGATTACTATTTATTTAATTCTCTACATTTATACTTCATATTAGTGTAGTAAAAATTGTTATAACAAGCAAGTAATTATGCCTTATTGTGTTGTGGTAATAATAAAGTAAGAATGAAATATTTTAAAATGTAATGTGTGTGTATATATATGCCCTTATGAAATAATCAATCTGTTACAATGTTACAAGTGTTGTAAATCTGTGATTGCGTACAACAATAAAAGTAAAGGCTTGCATTTCCAACATACGTAAAGAGTCACAATCATGAGCAGCATCGTGAAGTAACCTTAATTGGCAAAGTCTTTTTAACAAAACTCACCGGTAAAATCTACATTTGAAAAGAAATTAGTTTTCAAATTCGTTCAGAGGATTTTTTTTGGCACAAATAAAAAAAAAGGCTAGCCCTTTTAATTATTGAATATTAATTTAAATATATTTTAAATCCTAAATTTTTATGTTGGTGCTTGTAATTAAAATAATCTCTGAAATATTTTTGTCATTAGTCCATGCCGTTAATATAGTTATTGCTTTAGATTGTTTAAATTGTGAATATATCATTCATAGGGCTGTAGCTTTTAAGATATGAAATTATATAATTTTTTTATTGTTGATGAACAAAATTAATGTCAATCATTTTTAAAATTTTAAATTGATACCATTTTATTTTATATAATAGAAGAACTAAATATATGGCTGATAGTCCAGTTTTAATTTTGGAAACGCCTTTCAAACGCTCTTCATTTCAGCCTTGCTAGATCAGTTAAAATGATGATAACGGAGATGATTGAAAAAGAAATACTAACCGGATCAATTGTACCATTGGGGAATAATGAGTAAAATAGAAGCCCATCCCCCTTGCGTGGCCTTACTCTTAAACCAATACAGTCCTCGAAATTATAACTACCGTCCATGTTGAATCCATTCTGCGAAGAATAATGCGCTAATTACCTCCTAAGCTATGAAGATTAGAAAATGGGAGGTGCGTAAATAAATATGTAGTGACAAACTTGGTTTTACCTCAAACGGAAATGCGGTCTCCCCACCTTCTGGAACGTCAGTTAAATACAGCAAAAAAGAAGCCACCTGCATGGAACTTAGGTAAGAATAAAGCTAATTAAACTCAAATAAGTTACGAAAGTTCAAGCTAAAGTTGTAACGGAAAGAAGCGATTAAGACTAAAATATGAGATGGATATAAGTATAAGCCATTTGAGTTGAATTAGGTATCTAGAAAGAGACAGACCCAACATGTTTGGATAATAAGTGACTACTTAAAGGATGAGATATTTAAAAATTGAATAAGTATAAAAAAGAAAGAATAAGTAAATAAATAGATAAAAGACAATGAAAGAAAAAATGATTTAAAAGTAGTTTATAGGAATAAATTAGCTCAAAATTTGTATACACTAACAGAGAATATTCTTTTATTAATAGCATAAATATTAATAGATAACACTAATATGAATTCAAACATAATAAATAATTAATTAAAAAAACATATTTAGCATGACAGGCTCGTTTTGTTCTGGAAAACGTATACAAGCTATGAACTACAAGAAATCCAAATGCAACTACAAGGGATCTGGATCCTCTTCAATATGAGGATAACTGGATAATTCTGTGGCTAGAGAAAAAGGGCCCCCGGAGTAAAACTAATTTAAAAAAATCTCATTCACCAGGAGGATGATGTATCCTATCAACTATCAAGTACGAGTATTATGATACTTTTTTTTTTTCTCAGATACTCACTGGGTTTCCTCTATTTTAAAGTAATACATTCCTCTTTTTTAAGAAGTTAATAAATATACTATTTTAGTTCATTTTAAAATAAGCTTTCCATCTACCCCTTTTCTCTTCCTAAACTGGTGCTATTAATTCTACAAATACTTTTGATATTGTTTTTTAAACTTGCTAGTTGCTATACTTTTATTAATGAACTATTACACTTGGTGTATTTCTATTGCGAAATGTTAAAATCATCTATCGAACAACACTCTTGTCCAATTTTAACACCTATTATACTTTTAAAGATAAAATGACAAATTTAGATAAAAACCTCATAACCGATAATAGTGGTTGTATTATTTTATTTTCTAAAGCCCCATATTTATGTTGAAAAATTGAAGTCATGCCATTGGCATGTCCAAAGAAAGAAAGAAAGAAAAAAAAAAGATAAGGATCCTTTCATGTTATGGAAGAATATGGTAATCTTATATGTAAAAAATAGAGAAGGAAAAAAATCAACTTAACAAGGCCTACACAAACAAAAAATTATGGGCCGTTTTAAAATTTTGTATCTTTTTCTGATGGTATTTCCATGTTCTGATTAACATGCGAAGATTTAAATCGGAGCTAAAAAAATACCTTTAAAAGATTCACCCATCCACTTAACTAAATATTCTTTATATGAATAAAAAAACATACTTCTCGAAATTTTTCTCCTTTTTTAACACTATAATTTCTCTTATCCTTTATTCTCTACAAATCTATTTTTATTTGCACTGTTTTCTTGATAATTTTCATTTTTAGAAGGTATAATTTATATTTTAGAAAAAGAGAATATTTAAACGTCTTATACGACGAGACAAGAATATACTTTAAAACACGTATTATCTTTTATATTCAATTTCCCATCCAGTATTTGCTCGGATGAATATCAAACATCGCAGAAAATGACAAATCACGTGTCATTGCCATCGGTGGTGCTAGTACGCGAACTATCCACAACATCCATAACTTGAAAATGAGAATGCACGAGTTTTACTTTAGAGTTTAGAGTTTAGACGTACCCTTTGGCTCTTTTGTGTGCCATATTGAGAAAAATCAAGTGCATCATGATGACCGCTGTATTTCTGTCCAACCTTATAGCGTAGGATATTAAATGCCTGAAACATGGTTATTCCTCAGATAACTTAGAATCACCCTAAAAAAATATAAATATTCAAGAAAATCAAAAGGCTCCGTAGTTGCAGATAATAAGCTTGGGAAGGAGAGCTAATATAATTTATATTCTAGACGTACAAGAACATTGATTTTAAAGGTGTTTAAAGTTGATTTTATCCTTTTTAGTTAAAAAATCATTATGGTTAAACAAACATTATCTCCTCTGGAACCTCAACAAAAGGAACCAACGATTAAATACTGAAACAGGAAAGGATCAATCCAACTAAGCACCACAAATTCCATTGGTAGTCTCGACTCTCGACTCTGCTACATTCCCTACATTAAGTCCCAACATTCCTTTCCTTCATGAACTGGATTCTAAGCCAACAAAAGTACCCAAACTTTCTATTTAGTGTGGGGAAAATGGTAAAACGAAATTATCGCAAGTAACTATATAACATTCACGAAGCATTATTCTAGAACATTCAAGGGTAAAATACGGTTATCTAAAGGTACCAGCGTGCACCTATTTAAGAAACAATTAGATACTTTATAAACTTGTGTAGTATTTTCTTTGACGTAGGCCACTAAGGGGAAAGATGAAAAAAAAGAAAAAAAAAAAAACAGGTTTTGCAGAGAATATAGAAACTGACAGCAAAAGGAAAAAAGAGGCGGTTGGAACAAGGAAAATCCAGAGACCAAATTAAAAGGGTTCCATTGGCCACTCGTGTGAAAAGCCTTTTACTCTTCCCGTAAAACTAGAATAAGTGCTTTGCAGAAGTGGTGAATATGATGGATGGTGCTAGTTTTACTATAAATGAAAAACTGTAAATTAACACTTCAACAGTTTTTACTTTTTATCACAGATACAAATTCAAACAATCGACTAACTAAAGCAAAAAACACAAGAAAAATATCTTTAGTAAATGAGATTAATAAGCTTTTCAAAAATGCCCTTTCTGCATAGCAAGAAAAACGGCTCAGTAGGGATGTTACCTCTCCATGAGTCCTGGGAATTTTTGTTGCTTTGGCAATTTTCTCCTCAATGGCATATAAAACCCCCGTTTTATCCTCATAAGAACTTATAAACACACCAGAGCTGTTTAAAAGAAAAATGTAGATATAAGCTCGAATCATAACTTGATATGACATAATGTGAATCTTAGGATTTTCGAAGAAGGTCCCCGTAACCATAATCACCGATTACCATGGACCAGATCAATTATCTTAGGTTGTATTTGCACCATTAAAAGGTGGATAAAATATCAGCATATTAAGTCTCAGGAACTGAAACTCCCACGGATTACTTGGGGAGATTCTCTTTTATGGAATTTAGTTTGTAACATAATAAATTTAAAGGAAGTCAAATTGGATGTGTTAACATCTTGCTAAAAAAGTTCAGAGTCTGGGTTAAAGGCAAGGAATAAAAGAAAAATTATAAGAGAATCAAACAGATTGAATCTAATTTCTAGTTGCTTAACTATGGCTGGAGTTTGAAACCTTACTTTTGCACATGCAAAATACTAGTTGAAAGGAGATGTTTATTTATTTAGTGTCTGTAAAACTTTTATAAAAGACTAATCGTGTTTCAGAGAATGAAAAATAAATAAAGATTGCATGTAATTTCTCATATCCTGGAAATCTATCGGGCTCACCACAAACCCAATCAGAATCAACCATGCATTTATAAGTTTGTTATCTTAGTTATTACAATAATAAATTCTTTCTTCTGACTTTTGACTTAAGCATGTGTATGTTGACCTTTTCTACTATAATAACATTTGACTTAGTGCAGTTTACAATGAAGTCAGACAATTAAGTATTCCACAGACAATTAAGTAACACTACCTTGTTCGGATTCCCTTTGTATTCTCCTCTGTTTCTCCCTTGCGTAAAGCCACTGATGATGGCGTGAGTCTTCCCTTTGCTATTTCAATTATGCTTTCACATTGTTCTGCACTCGCAAAATTAGGAAAATACATAGCGCGAGGATACCAGCTCAAAACCTATGGAACACAAATCAAAGACACATTTATTTGAAAGCCAAAGCTCAAGTCAATCCTCCAACAGATGCGTATGCAAAACATTGTGATATGCTTTCTATGTACTTGTTTATATATATATATAGAGGAGGGTTCAAATGATACCGGTGTAACTTTTCCATGAAAAATAAATAAAGATTGCATCTAACTATTTCTAAGATTTGTAAATTCAACCGTTAGATTGAAAGTTTTTTACTCTTAAATCATATATACAAAATTTTATATTAATCCAAGATGATTTGATACTTCATTCTTATAAAACAAAATTGACGTAATATATACATTTCAAAATATAATAAAATATGAATATTTTGATTACCTTCAAGTTGTTGTTCAATTTTAACAAAAATTGATATAAACATATAAAGTGATATGAACTTTCAATCTAACGGTTGGATTTACAAAATTCACATTGAATATAAAATTATTGAGTAGTGTAATACTTAGTAAAAATTACATCGGTGTCGTTTGAACCCTCCTTATCTATATATATATATATATATATAGAGAGAGAGAGAGAGAGAGAGAGAGAGGAGGGATGAGGGATCCTTTTATTCAAGGAATAAGTCTATCTAGACTTACTCCGTTCAATAACTCATGTTCTACATCAAATTTCAACGATCCAACCGTTCAATTTAAAGTTCTTAATGCATTGATCAAATTTGCAAATTTTTTGAAAATTTGAATATTTGATATTTCGTTTCATTAATTAAAACCAATGTATAAAATGATTTTATGATTATCTGTCAATTTGAATTAATGAAACGAAGTATCAAATAATTTTCAAATTTTCTAAAAATTTGCAGATTTGATCTATGCATTAAGAAATTTAAATTGAACAGTTAGATCGTTAAAATTTGATGTAAAATATGAATTATTGAACGGAATAAGTATAGGTAAACTTACTCTTGGAATAAAAGGATCATTTCTCATATATATATATATATATATATATATATATATAGAGAGAGAGAGAGAGAGAGAAGAGAGATT